TTTGCACTCTTCCCCATGGCCCCCAACGCCTTCTTTATCCTTCCCCCTTCCCCTCCCCACCCACCAGTGGTTATATGATCTACAATCTGCTGCCCACCAGTTATAATATCATCTAGAATCTGCCGCCCCTGCATGTACACCGATGCGCCCTCCCCCAGGTCCGCCCTCCCCCGCGTGCTGCTGTAGGCGCCACCGTCACAGTACACCACCCACACCAGGTTCCACCCGTGGAACAAGGGGTTGGTTGCGCTGTCCTGTGATAGGAGCCCGCCCAGCTGTGGATACGACTCGGATGCCTGAGGACAGGGCACGGTGGGGAGGGGTCGGGTGGAGTTGGGTGGGTTGCACTGCGGTGGAATGCCTTTCTCAGGCGCCTCCGTCCGGTCACAGCACAGCACACGAGCCACACCAGGTCCACACATGGAGCTCGGGTACCAGGTTATGACTCGCTGTTCGTTGAACCGTTCTGGTTGGAAGCTGGAATCTGGAGATTTTGTGTGACAGTGGTAACTAAGTTACTCACCGAGTACCGCCAGCCAGTGCTGGAGCGTCACTCTCCAGCGTCACTCTCCAGCGCCACTCTCCAGCGCCACTCTCCAGCGCCACTCTCCAGCGCCACTCTCCAGTGCACGCAGCTGCAGGCCAATGCTGTCCGCTCCAAGACCAACGAGACCTACCTACCTTGTACTATCCTATAATGAATACAAGGACTGATCGAGAGAGTGAGAGAGAGAGAGGCAGCGCACCCCCAGATGGCAGCGGACCCCTGGCCGCTGCACCTGGGGGACATCCTCCACACGCTGGAGGGCTAGAGGGTCACTCGGGGGGGGGGGAAGAGGGGTGAGTTAAGGGGCTTAAGGGATGGAGGTTATCATGGATAGCACTGCATGTTTGTACCCCTGCTGAATCAATACAAAGGACCGTTTGAGAGAGAGAGAGATCAATACCCCTGCTGCCGGGCGAAGGCATGTCCCTCGGGGACTGCCTTGCCATCCTGGAGCCTGCACTGGAGCTGCCTTAGAGGGTGAATGAGGGTAGGTAGGATATGGGGGTTTCAGAAGCTGAGGTGCATTGCTTCTTATATCCTTGTGCATGTCTGTACCTTGCTCGGATCTAATACACGGACCGCTTGAGAGAGAAAGAGAGCATCTCATTTGTGACTCACATTGTTGATCTTTCCGCCGTTTTCAACAACGGCAGGCAGGCGCGTGGCCCAGAAGTGCGAGGAGCCAAGGGGGGAGTTGGCGCGCTCGCGGCACTCGAGCGGCGAGAAGCACCAGCCGCCCTGGGGCAGATGCACGTGCCACTTGCGCCTCCCCGCGCCCGCCCCCGCGCGGAAGTAGTACGCGGGGGTACTTCGGGGGGCAGTGGGTGGGTGGGTGGGTGAGTAGGAGAGGAGAGGGAGTGGGGGAAGGGAGGGGATGGAGGGGTGGAGGAAAGGAATTGTGAGGGAATCGATTGGACGTATGGGAGAGGAGGAATGGCGGGTCGAAGGAGAAAGACCTAGTAGAAGGTCCAATCATCATTAAAAAACAAAAATAACAAAAAAAAAAGGTACGCACCTTCCGTCGAGGCATTTCGAGCTGTACTCGTTATCAGGTAGGAAGACGAGGCGCGTGACTGACTTGAACCGGTTCGCTCTCTCCGCTCCGCAAAGGGATACGGGATACACGACTAACAGAGCGAGCAGCAAGGGAAGAACAGTTTGAAAGGAGGGGCAAGCGGGGATCGCGAGGAGCAGCATGATGCGCCTAGCAGCACGTGGTTGGTAGCAAGCAGGTCAACCGGTCAGCACAGGTCAAGGGGGTCAAGCGAGTCAAGTCGCGTCGAGCCGATGCAAAAGGTAAGATTGTCAGTGGCTCTGGCATGGCATCATGCCGATCCCGCGTTCCCGCTGCGTCAAAATGTCTCCCTTGTATGCGGTTCAGTGAAATGCTTGGAGTTTTGAAGCGAATCAATGCTTTGCGTTCCAGAGAATCTAAAAATAGTGAGTCAACGCTCGAAACCTACGAACACCGCACATGCCCCTATTGGTTGAATGATCTGTCGAACGGGAGAAGTAACAACAGGGCAAGGAAGCAGAGGGCATCGTTGGTTGGTGAGCAAGACACAATTTTGAAAAAAAAAAAGGTGGATCGTTAAATGCGGGGAGGGAGATGGAAGAGGGGGAGGGAGGTAGTGGAGCAAGAGGGTGCAGGAGAGAGAGTGCGAGCAAACCAAAACTCCTCCGCCTTTTCTTGGATTGAGTAGGGTAGGGTAGAGTTGGCTGGGGTTGGTTACTATCGTTATCTGGGCCAACCCGAAAACGGGAGTTTTTCACGGCTGGGTGGATGTGCGCTTCCATTTATACAGCGGATGGTACGAACGGAGATGTCATCAATATGAGCGAATGCACTTGTACGAATGAGTTAGAATGTTTCAGAGACGTTAATGTGATGCAGGTATTGACACGAAAACCACACTCAGCGTTCTAGGCCCAGGCGCGCCAAGGCACGGCTCAATCGCCCAAGGCATCAACGCCCATGGCGCTACTGCCGCCAGCGCACTAGGTGCATACGTTGTAGGGTCAACGCCCAAAAGCACAAATGTGCCCAAGGCACCAGCACCTAAGGCGTGAGCGCCCTAGGGCAAACGCGCTTAGCACCAATGACTAAGGCGTGCACAAGAGGACTAAGGAAGACTCGCCAATGCCTAAGGTGCTGCCGCTTAAAGCGCCAGCGCTCTAGGCGCCAACGCTCATGGCGCAAGCGCTGTTAGGCGCCAGCGCACTAAGCGCCAGCTCGCTGGGCGTCAGCGCCTTAGGCGCCAGCGCGTTATAGGCGCAGCGCGTTAGGCACAATAGGTGCCAGCGTGTTATGCGCCAGCGAGCTTAGCGGCAGCGCCTTAGGAGCCACCGCCAGTACTGCGTGGGAATGCGTCAGGCGCCAGGGCGGAGAGCCATTAGTGTGTTGGGCGATGGTGGGGAGGCATGTTTACGAGAATGAGATAAACAGAGGGTCGGGAGCATTCGAGGACTCCAAAAAACCGGCGAAGTGAAGAAAAGTAACGATTTAGGGTAGTTGCTGGTGTGCAAGGCGAATGATGCTATGACGAGACCAGCCTACCTGTTTTAGGGTTTCCAAGAGTAAAACGTAGTGCTGAGAGACTAGCGCATGCACTTGGCTCTGAGCTCCGCAACAGGCGCCGGAAACGCCAAACGATCTGAAACGCGCGATTGTGAATCTTACTGGAGAGGATACGACGGCTTTGGAAACATGGGAAGCGAGAGAGCAGGTGTGAATCTCTCTCTTAACGAGGGGTAGAAAAAGGGAAACATAGCGTGATGGGAGGAGGACTAGCAGGATGACTGGTATTAGCTGCTACGCGGCGCGCTGTGCGATAACTAGTGCTTCTGCGATGAGCGCGTGAGCGTCGTGTCGCCTCGAGTGTGTGACAGGTGACGGCAGAGGAGCACTGGCATTGAAAGCGGGAGGCGACTCAAATTCGTTGCTTGGGCGAACTGAGAACGACACAACGGTTGCATATTTGGCACTTCGCTTTGCGTAACTATTCGTCTGGGGGTAATTGCGAAGTGGTGTCGATCTGCAGTGGTAACTGGTGGGAAACGCAATTTCCTGTGTTCTGGTAGGCAACGCTTGTGCCGAACTCGAGATTTGAGTGCTAGTAAGTAATATTTTGAAACCCCTCCCTCCTGTTTTGTTCCGCCGTTGGCCCAAATTGCACAAGTTTTTAAAAGATGACGAGAGGGAGTTTCACTGGTTTGGGTTTTGGCGAGTGTTTCCGATTTCGTGAAATTCGTTTTCTTCGCCCAACCTAGCCAGCCCCGCGTTTTACCCTGGCGGGTGTGTCAGACTTCGAAAGTCCCAAATTGCAGCTGCGTTTCTTTTCAAAGCTTGCACAGTCCACTTCGTCAAGTTTTAAAAACTTGACCCGCGCAGTCCGCAATTTGGGCCACGGGCTTTAAGCATGTGTCAACAAGCTCCTGTCAATCACCGCGCATTGTTGACGCACATGATGAGACTGCAACATCAGAGAGAATTACCGCGGCGCGCGCTTTGCATTCGTGATTTTTTTTCATCGCGATCAAATTTTTCCATAACCCAAAACCCTGACACCCCACCTTCTGTCCCGCGCGGTACGCGCTCCTGACATTTCGCAATATTTGAACACCTTAAGGGATATTTTTGGAGGGTTCCAATTTCTGTTCCGTTAATAAACGCGCCAGCGATCATAACACAAATCTGTCACAGCGATTTCTGACGAGACGCACTGGTCACAACCACCGCCAAGATTGTGCCCCCTGGGACTGACACGTAAATTGTTGTTGTTCCTAGCTGTGATACCAGATGCAGTTCTCCGTGTCGTTCATACCGGGCCGTTAAAAAACCCGGGCAGCGGTTAACCACCTACATATCGCGATAAGATAACATAGGTGTTGTAGCATATCCACAATGGAGGAACCTCCGACTAATGGCCGTGATATGTATGACATCATCCTAGAGCAGTTCAACATAGAGTTTGAACCAGAGGAGGGACCTACTATCAATGACAACGCTGCTATTCAGGAGGGTAACTGGTACTCCTCGCGGTATCATTGCCTCTTTGCCTTGCTTGATGATGCGGCAGTGCATAAATACGGTTTCTACATAAAGTCTACCAGAAAGGCATCGGCGCTAGCGTTGTGCAAGAGTCAGAAGCTTGGTTTGAAACCAAATTGTCCATGGCGGTGCAGCTATGCTCGCCTCCAGCGAAACGGACTGTGGCGAATCGTACAGCTCTCCGATCCCGCAGAGCACACATGCGACCGTGTCTACCGGACCCGGTGGTGGCCGGGTATGGGGCGTAAGAGGAAGTACCTTTGGCGGAAATTCGGCAACTTTGTCCGTGCAACGCCATTCAACGCCCCTTGGGACTACGCCAGGCAGATTCAGTCCTGCTCTAGTCCGAAGTTAACATACAAGAACGCTTACCAGTGAGCGTACACCCCTCATATGCCGAACATGTTTCCAGCGTCTCTGTTAGTGACTCTGTTGCCTCCACATTACTCATGCCCTGATACCACCCAAACATTCCACCTACGCAAGCTGAAGGTAGGGATCACGGAGCAGCGATTCGGCGACTGGTGCGAGTCATTCCGCTACATTCCGGCGCTGCAAGAGCGGATTCGGCTGATCGACAGCGGAGCCACGGTAAAACTACTGACTTACAATCACGAATTTCTCCGCTTCTTCATGGCGCCGAGTGCAACACGCGAATCACTGAAGACGTGCAGGCCTGTCGTCGCATTGGACGGGACTTTTCTGATACGTGCTCAGAAGGCTACTCTGCTGTACGCCAATGCGATGGACGGCAATCAGCAGATCATCCCCATCGCGTGGGCGCTCGTTGAGAGCGAAACCAAGGACACATGGACTTGGTTTTGCCGGCTCTTTGATAAGCACTGTTCCGACTGGAAGGGACGGGACGACGCGGCCATCATCAGCGACCGGGACAAAGGCCTCATCCCGGCGGTGAAGGAAGTGTTCCCAGAGAAGGTGGCGCACTACTTCTGTGGGTGGCACATGCAGCAGAACGTGAAGCGGTTCGGGAAGACGTCCGCGGACATGTTATGACGGCTTTTGACAGCAAGGTCGTTGCCGAAGTACAACGAAATCAAGGCCGGTGCACGGGAATCCCATCCGCTGCTGACGACCTACCTCTACGGTCCGGCACCTGTGGCCGACGCGCCGGGGCCAAACCCCACACCACCAGCTGGCTTCCGTATTCGCCGGCGCAACGTTCGCCAAACACGCCGGACACGCGCGACCGCCAACAATATTGCGGCCGAGGCGGCCGGCGCACGGCAGCGTGCTCGAGCATCACAGTCGCGTCGACGCGGCCCCCGACAGAGGCAGAGCGGGGCAGGACGCCCACCTCCGCATGCCGCAGCGCCAGTGCCATCCGCGGCGCCAGGGCCATCTGCAGCGACTCGCCCACGCGCACCACCGTCTCCCTCGTCTGCGCCCCGCCCGTCCGCAGCCCCAGCATCATCCGCAGCCCCCAGCCCACCTGCAGCGCCAGGGCCTTTCGCAGCGGCCCGCCCATATGCAGCACCGTCACCCGCTTCTGCGACCCGCACATCCGCTGCACCTGCACCATCCGCAGCCCCCAGCCCTTCTGCAGCGCCAGGGCCTTCCGCAACGCCCCACCCCTCAGCAGCGCCGTCACCCGCTTCTACGACCCGCCCATCCGCGGCACCTGCATCATCCGCAGCGCACTGCCCGTCTGCAGCGCCAGGGCCTTCCGCAGCGCCCCGCCCATCCGCGTCTACAGGACCATCCGCATCACCGTCACCATCCACTTCGACCCGCCCATCTGCAGCACCAGGTTCGTTTGAATAACGGTATTTCAATTCGATCTTCCGTTTTTTAGTGCCATGTTATGCGAGGTACATACGTTAATCAGCATTGCTTTATTTTGCAAACCAGTTCAAACATCGCAGCTGAAGAGCCCTGAACTTTCATTGACAATTGATTGCGCATGCAGCCCTTGTTCACATGATTCCACGATCAGCGGTATCGTTCAAACGAAACATTCTCACGGTGTTGGTTGTGGGCATATTGCAACCCCTATTGCAGAAACAACCGCACCATCAACATCACAGCGTGCGCCGCATCCACTACGACGGACTTCACCGATCGTCGTGCCTAGTGGATGGCGTGGAACAGCCGCGCGCTTCAACTTTGACAACATCGTGCTGAGAGCTGTGGTTCCAGGAGTCGTACCACCCACTGCGGCACCAACCTGCGACCCACCACCGACTGCGGCACCAACCTTCGACCCTCCACCTCCCGGCGTGGATCCGGGACCGTCGATTGGGCACAACACCGAAGAGAGGCACAGCGTGGTAGAGGACGAGGCCACTGTCGTAGAAAAAGACTCTGTAGAGGACGGGGAGGATGGTGTGCGGGTGCGTACAGGCTTGCGTGGTGACTACACTGCACGGAGTGGTTCGTCGTGTTAAAAAACATGGTTCGAGCAACCGTGGTTTGTCGTGTTAAAAAACACAGACAGTGGTCGATTCACTCTTGTAGAACCGGAGCGCCTATCCGGTGGCCGACATGCGATGTGATTTTGATCGGAAAAAACGGTGTCGAATCCACCACAACGTACGTCACACGTGTTACGTCGTGTTAAAAAACAAATACAGCTGGCGAATCAGACAACATGAACACCGCGAATCTCAACCGTGCCGAAACTGTTGACCAATCCTCACATGAATGGGAGAGAACCCGAATCCCGCATGTGGGTATTTGTTCCTGATAAAAAACAGCATCAACTGTCCATCTTGTGCTCGATTGGTCCACGTTGGCATAAAAGAATACATTCTTCGTTACCCGATTTCGAATGCAAAAGAACCTCCTGTTGACGCTAACATGTACGGTTGTGTTGTCCCCCCTATGAATAACTGATGCATTAAGCGCAACTACTCAACGAACGTCCTAAATATTTTCATCGTTGAATTAGTTTGAATCCCGTTTAGATTCTCTTGGATGACAATCAGAATAACCAGTTTTTTCATTTCCCAAAAATTTACCATCGAAAAAATTCCAAAGTATGAGTGAAAGTTACTTCTAACCTACAAGATTGAGGGGATGTAAAACAACGTTGTACATTCATTTATTGGAACCCAACTGGTTGAGTACTACATCCCATTACCTAAGGCAACATACTTGTCACACTAGCATACAATGTAATTTCTGAAGCGTGTCAGATATTCAAATGACATCGTTGTATCAGCATATGCACTCAGCAGCCATTATGAGAACTACAATCAAAAGATACACGTCCATTCAGCCTATACTTGCCACCATTATTGGTGTGATCGTGAACATGCATTGCCACTTTCTGAATCACTCCAATCTCATACTCTTAATAAATCAACCTTACCACTGTATATACTCCTTGAGTCAGACATGCCCAACCTTACCATAAGGCTATACCTAAGTACGATTGTCATCCCAAGAATCTAATTTTATTACCATAAGGCGTGTAAAGGTATGGGGGTGCAAAATATCCCACTGTCTCTAGGGGTGTGTGGATGGATGCTGCTCTGGCAAAGGTTTCTGTTCTTTGTAGTAATATGAGTACGTGGGTTTGATTTCTGGAATATTTTTGTGTGAAAAAACCAAAATACGTTAACCCTTTAGACACAACGTGCTATCTACAACTTTACTAAAAAACAATCCACCTTCCCAGGTACTAGACAGTTGTATCACATGTCTTTGTTGTTGGGTGATTGCCTCGTTATGAGATTAATGTTATACAACCACAACCTATAACTGTGCAACATCATTTTGCATCTGACTTTCCATTATGAGCCATCCTTACATTTGAAGTTTGACACTTGCAATCTTCAAACCTTTATGTTTGCAATGCGCTCACATGAGTACAGTTTTACACTACCCTAAGCACGTAGACCATCACAAAATAGCTACACAAGCATAGTGTGTCAACGTTAATATCTTGCTAGGGTTTGGACCTGTGTTCGATGGCGTCCAGCTTTGCAGATATGGTTGCCTCAAGATGATCAGTCTTCTGCCGCAACACGGCTATCTCCGCACGCAGAAGTTGTACTTCTCGTTTGAGGCTAAGAACCGCTGCATGCTCTTCTAGCTCCGCTGAAGAGATTGGTGCTCCAACCTCCATAGATACAGCCCCCTCATCAGTCCACCTGCGAAACAGCCCTTGTGATGGGATGGTAACACCGTCCGCCTGTAGTTGCGGGAGCAGTGCACCATCTAGATGGGAAGACATTTCCTTGTGTAAACTCGCTCGATACTCACCAGGGACCATCTCCAGATTCAAAGGCCCTTCCAGGTTTTGAAAATCACGGGTGACAAGGGAGCGGAGAAACATGCAGGTGTATATACCACATTCTTCACTGCCAACCGGCTGCTGTGGGATCTCCCAGGTCTGCATCATCAAGAATCAGGCGGAGATCATGGAAACATAAATTTAAAAGACGGCGTTCTTTTCAGCCGTTTGGTCGTGGTATTACCTGTAATGTGCGCCATTCAATCTTCTTGACGGCATCCAGAATGTCTTGTTCAAGAGCACTGGGTCTAACTCGATGCACCTCTTTGGCCACCAACCTGTACATACATCAATGTCTGACATTTGTATAAGTCTTCAGGCAAACTAATGGTGTATGCAAGTTTGTGTGACACATCTCTTTACCGCTCGATCACGTCCCATTCGGTGCCCAGGTCACAGTGCATTCCTTCTGAGTGATAATGGTAGAACTTTGGCCGGTATGTAGAAGGAAAATCCCAGCTCTCTTTGAGAAGGACTTTGGCGTTGGACACCACAACAAGGCTGAAATGAAACCTGCGCAACAATGAAGTGTTCGGTGAATGTGAATCCGAATGAATGATCTGTCAACCACGATTTGTTCCTGCACACCGTACTCACCTTCCTGTAACAACTATAGCGACGTAGTCGAAGTCTAGAAACGATCTTCTGGCAGGGCAGCAGGCAATGAGTTTCCCATGCCGCGACATGTACTCGAAAGCCTTAGAGTCGAGTGCGATCCATGTTTGGCCGTTCCGCAGCCGTGGGTAATGTAAGTCAAACAAGCTGTACGGTAGGCACAAGAGACGTCATTTTCCACAGGTCATATGTTTGTACAATCGCAACACATTTCGTGTACATACATGTTGTCGTTGACCGCCAAATATGAAGATATGCGATGAATGTCGGCCCCAGACACCGTTATACCAAATGAATGCCAGTTGTAGATGGCGCTCCTTTTCCGCTGCAGGAGAGCCACTTCGTGGTAGTGAATGGCGTCCAGTCTTCCGTCGTGCACGTCGCTCAACTCTTCAGTGGACGAGTAATCGCATTCAGGAATTGTACTCATTGTTGCGCCAAGTGCTGCTTCGTGGGCAATGGTATTGGTCATCGCTAAGCTCGTCGCTGTGATGAACTTCTATCTTTTTCACCATAGCTCTAGCTGCCTGTACGTAGAGAAGATGGCTTTTGAGAAAGCTTGCCACGTACTGTTTACGTGGGGTCGCATGTCACACAGTTTTGTGATTAGATAAAATGTCCAGATCCCTTCTGTCTTCGCGCACTTTTATGAGACAGCTGACGTGTCGGTCCCGGACTCGATGTGACGGGCTTGTGTTCAATCTGGTTCTGTTTTTTGTTATAGCGTTATAAACATGATCGTGGTTCGGTGCAAAAATCATGATCGGAATAATTATCTCGGTTAGTACAGTGGTTGTGCACACTTCGCAATTACTCTTCCCATACTGGTTTTGAGTTATTTATTGTCGAGAGATCCACGTACTTTGACCATCGACCAATGGGAGTCGTCGGTTCAACCTGCGTTTTCGTTTTTGCTAATACCGTGAGAAATGTCTAGCACTGATTGGCTAATGTTTGCGCTGCGAGTTGTACATTCTGAACACGATGCCTGAACGGGTACCGAACCGCTGTTGCGTCGTGTTTTATGGACGGTGTGGCTCGTACGTTGTTTCGCGATGTTTAATAACCAACCGTATAGGTTAGTAAGAATACACCACGCTATGAAACGTGCCATACTAGTGCACATTCAAATGTATTGTAGTAGCTGCCTTGCATCCGAACATCCGCTAAATCAAAACCCAAGGGTTCAAAGACACTTCATTATTTCTAACTACGCAAGCATAACAGTCTATTGAAACACAGATTTGCATGCATGGAGACACGTGCAAAACAAGCATGTTACACAGTGGAGGTGTGAGCTTCTGAGTATCCGCGTGTGACCTGTACCATATACATACATATCAACCATGGACATAAGTGAAGATAAAGATTCCATAGACGATGTGCGAAGATGGTACCTCAATTATAGTGCTGCTGCTCGTCGGTGTAATGCCGCCGACTACCCTGGACACCAGATAGGCTCATGCCCGGAGGTTGAGTCGCCTGGCTGCTGCTGGGCACTGCCTGCTATCGTGGAGGTGGCATCGAACCTGCAGGAGGGACCTGTAGCAGATGAGCCGGTGGAGTCTCTGGCATGAACTGCCGCCATTCGCGCCACCTGTGCCAAAGGTTGGTCGCTGCTAGGGTGACCACATGCTTGCTGGTGCACCCGTTTAGCAACTGCCGCTCAGACTGGGAGAGATCAACACTGCGCTGGATGCGAAACCCAGGCGGCCTAATTACCAGAGCCGCAGCCTTGTATCCCTTTGCTGCCTCTTCCTCGCTCGGGAATGGCCCCATGCGGATAGGATTGTGAGGGGCGGGCATCAAAAGCTTTGCATACCATGCATCGCCACTGCCGCTAACCCCCGTGTACTTATACTTCACCCTTCCGTGGGTGAAGCCATAAGAAGCAACTCCGGCTCC